CACACACACACACACATTCCTCAGAGATTTATCCTGTAATCCGCCCTGGAATCTCAGATTTGTTTCCTAATTACTTACAAGAACAGTGTCAACATCGATCAAATGTACTATTGAACCTGTTCGCGAGGTGAATTCAAGTCACATGAGGCCTTTTGAAAAACACACTGGTAACTGATCATATACTCTTTAACCTCCTCAGTGGTTTTCCTTTCTATACGTATTGACTTTATCACTTCTCCCTGCTTGTCTCCAGGGTTTGATCGGAGCAAAGGGTGACCGAGGTCCTGTTGGGAGCCCTGGCCCTAAGGCAAGTGTCTAAACCTCCACCTGGAAATATTATTATTACATCTGATTACACTGCTGCTCTGTGGAAAACCTGTATCTCAAACATTAGCATGTCTCATCTCTTGTTGTTATTGTTGATGGAATAAAACTTTCATAATTCACCAGGGTCGGTTTTACAAGAGTCATTTTCATTTTATCTTGTCTCTGAGAAGATTATGATAATTGTTTTGTCTCTGAATATTTTTGTGATAAAATATTGTTTCACCTTCAGTACGCCATTTTATACTGGTAATATTGTCGTCATTTATTTTGTGTGGGAGACAAACGTGTTACCTCTGTATTTATATATTTGTTTACTGTCGTCTTCAGGGTCAACCTGGACCAAGTGGTGAGCCCGGCCCTCCTGTAAGTACATTTTTAGTATGATGAGTGAATACATTCAATAAATATATTGTATTTACACTAAAAACAGAACGTACATAAATGCTTTACTTGAAGTAAAAATAACTATTGAACAATGTAAAATCACTCTCACTTACAAAAGTACAGAAGTATAATCAGCAACATGCATCAAAGGTTGCCCACCATAAAAAGAACATCTAAAACAGTCATTGTTAGGCTTTTATGCACTGACTATGCACTCTTTGATGGATGTTATACTTCTTGCACACCGCTAGATGGCGCTGTGCCACAGCCTCACAGCTTCAACTCCTCTGACACAGCTAAGAAGTGAAATGTCTGTACACTCCTTCTCCTTCTCATTTTTCTGAATTTTCTCTGCTTTGCTGCAGTTTGTGGGCCTTTTACAATTATTTCAACAAAGATATCTCAACTGATAAAGAACTTATGGAGCCTGAACCAGACCTTGATTTTTCTCTAAGGCGTCACAAGTTGAACATTTTAATAAGCTGTTGTGTATCATATTTGACACATGAATCATCACTTTTTTACGTATTTTTGGGGCTTTTAATTGCTTATAATGGATCAGAATCAGAAGTACTTTATTAATAGGACAGATAGGACAGAGTACGCTTGTGAAAGGTAGATAGAGAGAGAGTGGGGGAGGACATGTATACATGGCTGCAGGTCAGAATTGAACTTGGGTCTCTGCTGGTTGAGGCCTTGCCTTGTTGGGGTGGCAGCTCTACCAGATGAACTATACGCCACCCCATGAATTTTAAGCACAGTCCGAAGTGTAGCGGTCAGAATGTGCAATGCATTCATCTGAAATTGAAGTAGAAGTGTAATATTGCATAAAATTGATATAATCAAGCAATGTACAAATACCTCAAAACTGTACTTAAATAGATATAGAGTGTATATTTTTATAAGCTTTGATAAATCAGATCACCTCATCTAGTAGGGCTGACATGATACTTAGGAGCTGACTCATGACTGAATTAAATATTAGGTTTGAAGCCAAATCCTCAACATACTGTGATCCAGCTGCTCTCGTACAGCAAACTCCCGACTCCCTTTGTGTCTTCATGCTTGAATGCCGGACCAGCTGTGTCCTCTTTTGGGTTCAATCTGTCCAGATGTGGCATATGCTTCCTACAGCTGACATGAGCCTTAATCCTGCACACCACCCGCACTAAAGAAGCAACGCGTCGTCTGTGATCCACATGTTGTGTTCACATTATGCTCCGATGCTACCACTGACTTAATGCTCCAGCAAAGGCAAGGCCAGTCATTCAAACAGTGCAAAGTGGGCATGTGTAATACAGTGGGGCGCCACTAGGTGGTGCTCTGTGTCCATCTATCACACAGCATTCAGTGTGTTTAAAACTTAGAGTCACACATGCAACACTATATGTTAAATCCTTTTTGCGGCATTAGTAGGTGTGTTGTAGGTGTTTACTGTGTTGTATTGTGCTGTGCTGTGTCGTGTTTTGTGTTGTGTTGTGTCGTATCGTGTCGTGTGGTGTTGTACACTCTCCCAGACAGGAGATCCTGCCCTGTGGGATGTTCTTCCTTCAGCAAGGCTTATGCTGTGTTTATAATTAATTCCAAGCAAAAGACACAGTAAACATTAACTGATTGCATTCTGCGTCTTTGTTCTTCCTGAGCACTGTTTATCCTGCACTCTGACACCGCATGCACGCATTACTGAATTAACGCTACTGTTATTAATTGGCTTTCGCCAACGTTAATTGATACTTTGACGGATTGGTTCCACTTGTTTCTTGAGTGATTAACCCTTTGTCTATTCCGTCCTCGCAGGGATCAGGCCTTCCAGGACTGGCTGTAAGTAGCTTGTTTGATATAATATAATTATGCCTTTATCACTTAATAGCTTTAGCTTGAGGTGTGGAAATCATTCTGTGGGATGTTGGGTGTGTATCATAACTGGTTCTGTGTGTCTCTCTTTGTAGGGAGCTCTCGGGGCAATTGGTCTTCCGGGTGAAATTGGGGCAAATGGGCCAAAGGTAAGAAACCGGCTTCAGTTTATAATGCTTCCTTCAGGATTATAAAACAATATTAACATGTAATGCGCAGCTCACATCTTCACCTTTTCAGTTTTAAATTAGTTTCCCTCCTTTCCTCCGCTGTATTCAGGGTGTCATGGGACCACCTGGACCTCCAGGACTTCCTGGGCCTCCTGGCAAGCCTGTAAGTGTCCAACCAGGACGCATTTCATTAATCAAATCTTCGAATCTTTTCTTCTAATTGGACAAACGTGATGATAATAAAAAAAGTAGTCTTATTAAATGATGCGGTAAAATTACAGCAGACAATACATTAAAGAACAAAAACTCTGCCCAGGACTGTGTAACTTGCAGCTGCTACATCTGTTGTTTTATTCTAAATGTTTCAAGCTCACAGCCTTTCAAAGATACGTTAGAACTTTAAGCTCCAAATATTCATAAAATAAACATTAGTTACATACATTTCTTATGTACATTTCTCCCAGCCCCTTAATTTCAATGTTAACACAGCCTGGTTGAAGAAGATGAAGAACTAGATAGTTAGAATTAGCAAAAAACTGTACAGGCTAATAACACTTCTGCAATTTTTATAAAATCTTTTAACAATATAGCAGCCATTTTGTAACTTAAAAATACATAAGGTAAAGACACATTTTTGATAATGATCCTCTATTGATAATTTTGAACAAGAAATTGAGCTGGACATTTTACATTGAAAAATAAACTAATCAGTGCTGTGGTTGACGACTGCGGCCCCTTATCCTGATCAGCTTCACCATAATCTTCGTCACATCTGTGCTGTAAATTCTGATTATATTGGCTCATCTGCACTTAGCTAATATCAGCTAATCTATCGGTCCAGGAGATTCATCAGTTTAGCTCTAATAGCAATACACTAAAACTTCAATCATAGAAAAGATGTCTCAGTAAATCATTTCATATCTGTGACAGACGACGGTCTTCTATTTTTTTTTGTTGAGAATGGTGATATCAGCTGTGTGAGATAAATGAGCTACCAGTCGCTCACTGGGCTTAATCAACCATGTAGTGACACCAGTTTAATTGCAGTTGACGAATTTTATAGAAACGTGGTCACATTGTAAAAGTGAGGCAAAGACAAAACTCACCATCACATCTGCCAATG